CTGAAGTAATTTTTTCAGAACCCGGCGATGCTCCCTATGATATTGAGGTTCTGTCCATTGACGCTCGTGATATTATTATCGTATGGAAAGCCCCCAAATTTCCAAACTTGAAAATCGAAGTGAGTGCCATTCTTTAAAAGTACATGTCTCATTTTCATTCGCTTTTGAGTCTTACGAACTTCTTTTGAATGAAGACGTAGACGATGACGAGGAGTATTGGCAAAAATATTCGACCACTGCCAAAGATCAGTCGTTAGTTTCTACGAGGTAATTAATAAGCAGGAGACTTACCCAAAATAACTAAGCAGATTCAGGTTGTCGTTACCAACGGAACAGCTGAAGCCTTCCTCCGACTATTTTGTGCGGATTCGTGCAATAAATCAAGCCGGATCTGGACCTCTTTCGGAGCCGATTCAGTTCAAAACTCCAAACGGAGGTATTGCCCCTCTATTAGAAGACAGTCCAAATATCTTAAGAAGTTATAGGTCCTGAAAATCCACCAACTGCCGTAAATGTAGAAATAAACGAAGCTAATATAGCAGTGCTACGATGGACCAAGCCAAACTCAACAACGGAGATTCTAGTTAGCGAATGCATTACATATCATGTGTTTGGTTTTTACTGACTGTTCGCTGCCCAGAACTACGTCATCTACTTCACAAGAGATCTGGGGATTTCCAACGAAGATTACCATGAGTGGCAAACCGTGGAAGTGCCTGCCGATAAGGAAAGGTTGTAAAAAGTCGCACTTTCTATTTTTCCAATCTATTCAAACAAGACCGCAGAAAAGAAGGTAAATGTAAGTTGCAATAAAAGAGAAAAGGCAAAAGAGCAGCTGGCAGTAAAGTTTGCCAAGAGTAAAAAATTTGAGATATCTCTTCTATGTGGCGATTTCATATTCAAATACCAACTCACCAAGTCTTATTCATTACCTTTCCCTTTATTCATATCCTGCATTTTACATTCCATTTATTTACTTATATGTTACGCACAAGGCGTGCCAATAACCCGCACAGACAAAGAAAGAACTTCGAAACACGATAAGAAAAGAGAAGAAAAAGAAAAAACATCCATAAGCAACTCAAGTCCGGCTCCCGAGAAGTAGAATGGAACATATAAGCTGTACAAAGCATTAGTACAATTATGTTCAGTGGTTTTTTCTGCTTTACTTACGAGAAAGTGTCTGGGTAAGCTTTTAGATGCTTTGGATTTCCCGGTGAAAAGCAGTTCCTTGAGAAGTTCAAAGAAAAATATACGGCAAAATTATTTTTTGAATCTATATTTTAACGTCTAATTCAGCTTCAAGTTCGATCATCAAGTCGGGCTCAAACCAAAAACATTCTATCGTGTGAGGGTCAGTGCAAAGAATGATGTGGCGGAAGGACCTGTAAGCGAAACGAAGGAGTTCGAAACAGCTCATTCTGGTAAGTCCAATAACTCTCCATCTTCGAAATCAAGTGCTGATTCAACAAGCAATGTTTAGAACTCCCCATTCCAACGGATATTAGAACCAGTGTGGCTGAGGATAACACCGTGACAATTACTTTTTCTGCAGTGAGAGATCCGGATGATCATTCAAATGCTATAGGGGTACAAAAATTTTCTTTGTCCCTGTCAAAGCTTGAGCATTTCTTATTTAGCGCTATAAGCTTGAGATGGCGCAATCAGACAGCATTCTGAACGCTAACTGGCATTTAGTCAACGCCAGCAGCACTGCAGTAGATGATATGAATTCCCAGGTACCCACCCCTCCCCTCTACTGACTAAAATTATCATTATCCTGTTTTGCAGGTCACAATGACCATAGATGGTACCCGACTGGCACGAAGCAGTATGTACTGGGTGAAAATCACAGCTTCGTTGGATAATCCGACAAGATTTGTGCAAGCGTCGAAACCGCGATGGTTCCGAACAGGAGATGGGAGTAAGTAGTTTGGTTACAGATAGCTGATTTATTTTCGCTAAAGCTATGTCAGCTCGCATCTTGCTCGAACAGCTCTATAGTTTAGGACTCAAGACTAGGGCCGAAATCGAAGGCGCACCTGTGATTGAGAGGGAACCAAACCTCTTCGACACACTCACCATCGTATGTCATGCCGAGGGTTACCC